GTGATCCAGCCTTCATTATCCAGAGAAGATAAAAGAGCAACACCCATTCATGACCAGCAGCAGAGGCAGCTGGTCTGGTACACACTCACACTCATCTGTCAGATTTGGCCCCAGACTTCCACATTAGAATTATTACACCCATTCATAGACTCAATCACCATTAGTGGAACAGACAGAAAAATAAATGCTGCCTCAGAGTCCAGCTTTAATTTAATTTGGAATTAAATAAATCTTTTTTTTAATCTGAGAAACATTAGAATAACGATGTGTCCTGTAAAATACTCTCCCATTCATGTATAGTGAGATGCACAGTCAGAGGAAGGCGCTCAGCCCTGCTCTTGTGCAGGAAAAATCTCATTCTGACGGCACACACTTGAAGTCCAAGTACAGTGTGTCCTCCAAAGGAAGGATCCTGCATAGGCTGAGGAAACGTGAAGGAAAATAATTAATTCTGTCAGTTTATTTAGTTTTTTTTTTTTTTTGGTGGATTGCTGCAGCCAGGACAAGACGTCCTGTGTACAGCCAGGGCTGTGATGAGCAGAAGAGGGGGGGAAAAAAAAAACAGCACAGAGACGGAAAGTATGAGAAGATGCTATGTTTGATTATCTCCGTTGGCTCTGTGAGTGCATTCATCTTGTGAGAGCAACTCATGACATTTATGGCAGGAAGAAGATATTTCCAAGGGTTTGAGGGCATGGCAGGAGCACAGAGATAAAGGATGCAGCCGGGGTCAGAGCGACACCAAGGCCGCCTGACTCTGGGGACCTCTGGGAATTGCTAAAATCCCTGTGGAGACAGTGGCCACTTTGGGTTTTCTGTTCCTGACACTTTCACAATCACACACACACGCCAGTGTGCAAACGCCTTTGGTGTGCGGTGTCAATGTTAAACTTAATAGTGACAGAGAAGCCAATAGAGCTGGCAGCAGAATAAGGATGGGTACAGTTAACTGAGGATTTAGCTCCACAGAAAATGAGAGGTGTCAGAAATGAGTTACACTTGTGGCGTCGAGTTCCACAGACTAAAATGATGCACAAAACATCCAATGACCACTTATTTACTTTTGCTTTTAATTATAGTTCACGCTCTCTTTCCTCTCTCTCAGTCGGTCTTTGTCTCCCTACTCTCTCTTTATCTATCTTTATTTTTATCTTTCTCTGTGTGTGCGCGCGTGTGTATGCATATCGATGTGTGTGTGGCGTCTGTGCGGACTAGAATAATGTAACATACACATAACTTATAAAAACCCCACTAGAGTGGAGTCACTTCTTCTAACCCAGTTTCTGTTCAGCTGACTTTCCTGTCACTGCAGGGTCTGTCTGTGGAATGCACTGTTCCTCTTTTTTCATTTTTGGACACGTGTTCAGTTCTGTTCAGTAGCTCAATCTGCCTAAGTTGCATTATTTAATTACATAAAGACAAATCATGTTAATGTGGGAGCGACCTCAGTCAAATCTGGACTGGACTGAAAATACACAGGAAACAAAACAACATGTCTTTATGGCATGTAGGGATCATTTTTAATTTTTTTGTCAGTATGTGTCAAAAACAGATAAAAAAAAAATTTTACTATTTGAATAACACTGGTGAGAGCAAAGGCTCTAACACCAGACTTATCTTTAATCTAAAACTAATACCAGAGGCAGAAACTGATCAAAAAAGTAAATAAATAAAAAGAGAAAAGTAGATAAATAAATTGTGTATATATATATATATATATATATACACATATATATATATATATATATATGATCTGTATCCAGTTGCTTGTTCTCCCTGTCTGTGTTGGTTTCTTCCAGATACTGGACATCTCTAAATTATTATATTTTTAAATTGTGAGTGTGAAAAAGTGTTTAAATTTGACTGTTTTTTATACCTGTCTAATGATCATGTGACTAACTGTAACTGTAACTGTGACTGAGCTACAGTCTGAGGAACTGTTCATCAGTTACCTTGTCATCCAGTGACTGAAATGATTGGAAACTAAAACAGAAAACTAATGATTAATCCAACAGGACGTCAACCAGTATCAGAGCCTCCTTGCCATCAACTTTTCACTAAAGAGGATTGGAGAATAACTCTTAATGAAACGTCTCCGTGCTGTGGATCCTCCACAATGGAGTTACTCTGTGACAACACTGCAGTTTCATGAGAAGACTGTGATTCTTGGTTCAGGTGAAGTGAAACTGGTCACCCAGTGACAAAGTATGGCCAAAAACCTTAAAGTCCTGACCTTTCGGGTCAGCTGAGCTGCGGCCTGCGTGGTGAACGGAGAAGAATGAGTGGGAGAGGCTAAGCTGAAGCTGGTGGCCTGTGTGGCTTCCCCTGTTGGTCGCTGCTTCCTCGCCTGCAGGGGAAGCAGCAGAGTGCCAGTGTTGAGTGTTTTATGAGCTGCTCTCAACCAAACTTCCCACATTCCCACAAGCAATACAGTTAAAGGACGAGACTCTGGTCGAGCAGCTGCTGCGTCCAAACCACAGAAAATGTACACACAAACACACACAGTTGCAAAGAAAAAAAACCACACACACACACACACCCACCCACACCTACGTGTTAACCTGTGTGTGTTCTTGAGGCCAACAGCTGCTTGTAGATTGAACGCTGTGTCTACATTGACCGTAGTCTACAACATCTACCTGCCACTGAGACAGCAGCTCACATCAGGGAAGACCAAAACACAGACAGCATTTACAAGGATAAGGGCTGGCCTCCTCACAGTATGACCGTCCCTGAGCGTCTACTGCCACTCCGACCAGAGAGGAAGACATCCACACAACACAGGACCTGCTTATCAAAGGAGTGAGGATTCTGATCTCTGGATGCATACAGAGGGAAACGACTGAAGGGCTGCATGAAGGCCATCAGGGTGAGACTATGGCCGTGCCACACAATTTGGCCCCTCCCCCGTCCCGCTCTTACCCTCCACTCTCATCATCCCAAAAGCTAGCGTGCTAACGCCCGGTTGCCTCCGATACATACAGTACGTCGGTGACTATTGTTTATAAGGAGTGCGATCGAGAGCGAATCTGAAAACACTGGCTCCAACAGCCTCTGATCAACACGATGTCATCATTACTGTGAGCTGTTGTCACTCAGAAACATGATGGAGCACAGAATCTGACTGAGATGTGCACGTGCAGGAGATTTATTTAACCGCACCAAACAATTAATGTCTGCCGCCGTTTTCCCCCAAAACTACTTTTCACAGCACATCTCTCCTGTCTTGTTAAACTAATGCATGCTTAAATATTCACATTCCTCTAATTGGGATCATTTACAAAGGAATTTAACGACAAATCTTCCTCTGGGGATTTGGACTAAGGTGAAGTGTTTACGTGTGCATGTGCACTGTTGGCATTTCCATTGTGAAGTTGGCCAGAGATGCTACACACACCCTAAAGTGGGTGGTGAGCCAAGCTGCAGCCAACCAGCAGTGGTTTAAGTTGTTACACTAAATCATTCCACATCACAGCTGTGAGGCTATCTTCTCCTCCCATGGCAGTTAGCATAGGCCAAACAGGAACGTACCAGAACACACTGTAAGTCAAGTCAGCTACATGAAGAAAGAAATGTGGAAAAAGATGCACAGCATTTTGATGTTGTTGTTTGATTCAAAAAGTAACACATATATTCTAATGGATGGGTTTTAAAAAAGCTGAATTCAAGAAACAGAAATGATTGAGGTAGCCATTATTCAGCCATTATTGGAGAAAAAGCTGAAATAATTATGCAAATCGGTTCAACAAATCTTGCAAACAAACAAAAGTTAGATTCAAAGGAAAAAGAAAAAATAATTACGCAAGAAATTCAAGACAAAAATGTCACATTGTCTTTTGATGACCACACATGACAGAACTTTTCTTCTCATGTGGTCTTCAACAGCCATGGTCACAGAAACAGATCATTTATCTGCATCAGTGATGTTTCCTTCTTCGTAGTCTAGTGCAAATGACCTTATGATTATTTCTCTGCAGGAATGTGAAGAATTTGGGACTTAATCGTTACAACTTGTCAGTTCACGCAGGAGATGGAAGTCTAGAAAGACAGCTCAAAGTCGTCACCTGGTCTCTCTGCCTTTTGTTCAGCTGAGATGCTCTCTATAGTTACATCTTCCAAGGTTTCTATATTTACCTACAGCTACAGTTACCTAGTTACGCATCTTCAGCTACATTTATATAAAACTCCTAAAAAGCATTTAGTTAAAACTCACTGTCGTCTTTACAGAGCAGTTTACTTTAAATATAAATATATATGTGTCTACAGCTGAAATACTTCTTCAACAAAATACTTCTGAATAGTTAAAGATGCTAATGAAAACCCAGATTTCTGCTACTTAAATTATATTATCAACGACAAAAGGCTTGTCTGTGAATTTTAATCAGAGCAATGCTGACATCTGTCGGCGGTATTAGCTATAAACCACTGGGAGGCGGATGCACTATTTTCATTTACGTTTCTCTGTCATATATCTTCTTATATATGATATATATTATATCGTATGAAACTTACATAATATATATAGATAATTTCTACAGAATAAGGATTTTCCATTTAATTGTATATTTAAGTTACATTTAATTAAATTATAGTCTTTTTTAAAGTAGACCTTATGTTGGTAGAACTGCTTGTTGGTCACTCTACTGGCCTTTTAATATTCACTTTATGAGATAATGTATAAGCAAGTCCAGAAATGTACAATCCACCACAGACAAAGTCGTGGGTATCAGAAAAAGGAAAGTTATAATTAACCATTTTGTCCCAAATTTACACATTTCTAACACAGACATAAAATAACATAACAGTCAATTAAATTAAAGGTGACCTTATATTTCATGCCTGTCTCCAGTCCCGGTGGTTCCAGACATTTACATATCCATTAAAACAAACCTTTTAAACAATATTCAACTGCGAGTAAAAAGTTGGTGTTGTTGTTGTTGTTGTTTAATTCCTTCATTCACTGAATAACTGTTTTAAATTTATAAGCATTTCTGTATTACCTGTATTTTCACCTGCAGGTCCACGAGGGTGGTCTGGACCTGGAAATGTTGTTCTGTGGTAGTTGCATGGCTGCATTCAGCTCAACTCTGACTCTCACACTCCCCCTGCTGGTCACCTGCGGTGTGCCAACTTTCTTCTTCTCCGTTTCATACTACAAACACAATGAAAGGCATTCTGTTTTTTGTACTGCACCAACATCACAGTAACAATGATATGATTCTCTGTTCACTCTGAATTCATGTCACAACACACTCAACGGATTAGGTTTATCCAGATGTAGCGCTAACTAGGCTAAAGTAACACACCTGCAGTGTTGATTAAGAAACGTTTCCCAAGCAAATTGAACCAAATGGGACAGACGTTGACAAAACAATGTTGTATCAGTCTTAGAGAACCTGTCGTTTTCTGTTTTTACGTCAACTCAGTGTACTTACTGTTGTAGCATCACATTGTAAAGAAGTCCGTGACTGGTGAAGTTACACATTAGCTGATCCGCGGAGCCACTTCCTTCGTCTTTATTCCAAATTAAAAGAATTTATGAGTTTGTGACGGTTGGTGTCACGCAGGTAGACTCACGTCTACACATTTACAAACCGTCACTGTTTTATTAGGACAAACCAAAAGAGTTGTTTTTAAAAAAAAGAACAAAGACTGCACGCAGGCAGCTGACGTCACATTTCTGCTACATGTCCCCCAAAAGTCTAGTCCCCAATCTTTGATTTTATTCCCCCCCTGGTGGCCATACAACGTAGAGGAACAGGCCAAACCTAAACTACCTTCACACACAAGGAGACAATTTAGCTGTCAGGACCAAAGTGAGAGACATACAGTGAAATATCAGGTAACTGACGTACATGACAGTGTATGTCAGTACAATATTTTTTCATAGCACATAATAATCACATTAGGACACAAGTATATAACTCCTTTGCAGTCTGAGTGGAGGGAATATCTACACAAATATTATTTACATTATTCTCTTGGTCATTCATGTAACATAGGAACATTACTACTACCAGAAGCACTTGAGTATTACAAAACATTCAACCAAAAAAGAACAATAAGGGTTGGTCAAGGTGACTCTGGGGGTCCATCTAGGTCTCAGGTTCTAACAGTCAGCCAGGCCAAGGGAGGGCCAGAGGGGTCAGAATGATGCACATCATCAGTGACCTGTACAGTCCACAGAGTCAGTGGGATCAGTGAAATCATTAATGACAACTTATGAACAGGCTCCATGTTCACATGGAAAACACCGTCGTCCTGTCCTGGGTGAACTTCAGTTAACATCAGACAGTCTTATGGAGATGGGGCCGGGCTGGCAGTGAAGTTAACTTGTGCAGCTGACTGTGGTAGAGTTCTCACTCTGACAAGACCCTCAGTGATGTAGGAGACCTGACGTCGTCTCAGGTCATAGTGACGCTTCTGCTGAGCACGACTCTCAGAGAGCACAGCTCGGCCGTGATCACGTGCCTCCTGAAGCCAAGCTGTCAAACCTTCAGGGCAGGGGACTGTGACTAACTCCATATAATAGAAATAGTTTTCCTACTTATGATAACGACAACATCCAAGTATAATCACAATTTGGTGAAAATTAGAAAATATAAATGCGGAGTCTGGTGTACTTGCAGTTCTTGTGTCAAATACATCCACCAGCGAAGACAGACAGAACGCTGTTGCTGATGTCACTGTTGCATCAGCCTGTCTCTTAAAGGGGCAGTTAACCTGTAATAACTGGGTGGAATACAATTTTAGGGACATGGAAAAAGGTTTAATGATATTACATTATTTTAATTACAGAAGGATATGTGACTGATTATTGGATAAAAAATATTTAATGTTGTGATCGTTAATCACTGAAGTGAGCAGAGCAAAACCAGCTGCAAGAATTTAGTATGAAATGAGGAAAATCAATTTCAAGAGAGTTTTCATTGCACTGATATAGGTGTAAATAGTTGGTCATCAATTTCAAAATAATCATTTATGAGGTCACTTTGACAGGACAGCATTTTATTAGTATTGACCCAACATATGTTGATTAGGAATCAATCATGATTTAATCAAGAATAAGGAGGTTTAATTAGGAATAAAGCAAAAAAAAAAAAAAAAAAGAAAAGCAGAGAAATTAGTCAGGAATTCAGGATTCAAAGAAAACTTCATAAATGAAAAGTACTTTCATAATCAAATGGAATTAATCAGAAGTTCAAGAGGATTTAATAAAAAGAATCACTAATTACTGAAACAGTAATCATGTACCTTGTTCAATAATGACCTTTTTTCTGTATATTCAACTTATTGAAGCTCCTAGTTTTACTCAGGTGGACAAAACACTCTCAAAAACAGAATAAATGAAATGTTCCCATTAAAAATGTATTTATATTTTGGTAATTATACCCATGTACAGTAAACATGCTTACAGTAAGGATGACATTGGTTCCGTGCCTGCCACACTGCAGACTTCCCCAACAGGAAGGCACTAGGACTCAGTACATACTGTACTGTTATGTAGCATCAGATGAAGTTTTAAAGCTGGTGCAAGTTTTGATTACGTAAAGAAACTTCACAACTTTTTTTTTTTTTTTTTACCATTCCTGAAATCTCTTCAAAGCCAATGTTACAGACACATTTAACATAGAGCTCGTTTTCTGGATCGGTACGAAAAAATGTGGAAGAGGAGGATGGAGAGGAGGAGGAGGAGGAGGAGGAAGAATAATGCTGTTGATCAGCAGCTCCACCTCAGTACACCAGTATCTTCTTTGTTCGTCCTTCAAGGTTAGCCAGGGGTAGATAATACAGCAGGAGTGTGTGTGCGTGTATGTACTGTCTGTGTGTGTGGAGAAAGGAGAGGTGGAGTGAGTCATCAGGATGAGTCATGCACTGTGTGTGTGTGTGTGTGTGGGTGTGTGTGTGAGTGTGTGTGTGTGAACATCTTGGAGAAAGGCTGGATAGATGGAAGGATCACATCTTATTATCAGATAATTATATATTCTGACATAATTGGATAAATGAAGCAGCACTTCATTATAATTCTTATATTTTGTTTTTGTGGATTCAGGTTTTAGAGTGCTACTGTTTTGGCTATAATTGACAAAGACGTTACACATGCTGACGTACGTGAAGTTTCAAAAACCATAATTCCTCAGTGTCTACCTTGTTATAGCACTTAGATGTTGTGATGGTTTCTGAAATAAAATGGAAAAATGATTTAAGTGAACAAAAAACAAGAAAATAACAAGAAAATCATGAAAATTTCAAACAAGAAAAAGCTATAATTTGTATTTACTGTATACAAATGGAAATGGAATGTATCGTCACTGACCAACTCTGCACTGACCGACACAGAAATGATGTGGTGCCACCGTGGTGTCAACAAGAAGAGCTTCGAGACAGTTGTCTGACATGTTTGACTGTCAGTCTTTGTTTGGAGTTTAATCATGAAACCTGCAGTCTGCTGAAATCTTTGCCCACGACAGACCTTGGTGATGAGTCTGTACCAATGTTCAGAAAACAACTGAGTGCTTATGGTTTCTACTGCAAATGGGAAAGATTCTGAGGATGTCTGCACCAAACACCAGTCCAGGCCCAGGTTGGAGTACAGAGACCTCTGTGTCTATCACATGGCAGGAAGAGCCAGGAAATGGACCAGACATGTGATGGCTGTTTGATGTTGCTGTCACAAATGCCTGGATGCAGTACAAGTCTGCAAGAAATGCAAGAAACCTTGCCATGATTGCAATGGCAGTTGGTACAGACAGCGCCCCCTAGAGTATCCTGTGCCGTGAGGAAACCTTGACACCTCCGTGACATTACCATGCTGGATGATGCCCCTCCTTCTCCTGGGCGTGTTGAGGTCTTCTAGTTAGGATTTTAAAAATCTGAATAAAATTCAGTACTGACCTAAACATGGCTTCAGATAATGAACTAATATCTATGAAAAAACATTTCACAGAGGCTGTAAATGTCTAAAAAGATGTTAGAAACCAAGACAATTCTGTGATATACGTAAGTCATACATATGTGTGTATATATATATATATATATATATATATATATATACATATATAAAGAGAGAGTATATACGTATACATGTGTGTTTGCAGTGTTTGTTACTTTCCTAGAGTAATTTCAAAGGGGGGGGGCGAGTACAACCACACTAACCCCCTGGAGCTGATCTCCTCCTGGATATGTGCAGCACTCACTGCTGGAAGAACTGAAAAAAGAAACATATTTGTTTCTGAATAATTCATTCAGACTTTTCCCCCTGATCTCATCTTTCTCACCTCTGCTCCTCCTTTGATTCTTCCTTTCTCTCCTTCCGCTTACGTTCCCTTGTTGCCCCCAATCTCCCAGATGACGTCACAGCCCACGTATATGGTCAGCACTGAATGAATGGGGCGAGAAGCCCCAGCCCACCTGCCTTACAGTCACACTATTACTATGACAGAGAGCGAGAGAGGGAGGGAGGGAGAGAGAGAGAGAGAGAGAGAGAGCAGGAATTAAACCAGGCGGGAAAGACGCGTCAGGACAGGAAGTGAAGCTTCTGATATTTTTATAAATGAGTCCGCGGTGTAAAAGAAGCAGCAGAGGAGAAAAGGAGAAGAAGAGAAGAAGACGAACAGATGAACTTTCCATGAAATGCGTCGCAGACTTCAGACTATCATTACAATTGAATCTTAAAGGAGAGCTGTGACACGGATTCCTGAGGTAAGTTTACTTATTATTTTACATTCATAATTTTTTGGTCAAAAATGTTTTATCTGTTTTTGTTTTGTTGGCTTTGTTTATTTATTGTTTGTTTGTTTGTTGTTGTTTTTTAATATTCCCCATTAAGTCATGGACGCCGCTGTAACTGATTGTGTTTCTGTATTGAGTTGACATTTTCCTCGTGTGTGGGCTCCGTGTGAGCACTTCCTCCAAAGACATGCAGGACTCGGTTGACTGTTCAGTGTCAGTGTGAATGGTGTGTTCACTGTATATGTGTGGTCCACTGATGGACCGGCGAACTGTCCAGAATGTTCTCCGCCCTGACCGACGACTGCTCCCGGTGGATCCAACTCCACTCACGACCCGTGTGAAGATAGAATGGTGGTTTATTGGTGGTGTTTTAAATCCACTCACGACCCGTGTGAAGATAGAACGGTGGTTTATTGGTGGTGTCCGTGGTTTCAGGACCACGGACAGAGACAGGGACAGGCAGCGGCGGAACATTGTCCTCCACTTCTTTCCTCCTTTTCCTTTGTTTTCATCTACACCTGTCTGTGAGCGGATGCGTTGAGGGTCGACTCTGACAGATCTTTGCCTCTGCTGCGTCTTGTTTGGTGATAAAGTTGCTGCAGTGTGAGTCACTTTTGGCGCACATGTGCAGTGACAACTGAGAGAGGGAAAAAAATAAGAACGCGTCTGTGTTGTAGGGAGGAGGGGACGCTGAGAGCATGTTAACCAGACTGCAGAGAGAGACAGGGGGAGAGACAGGGAGAGGAAATCACGACCATCACAATGTTTTCTTTTTATTCCTAAACAGAAATTAGTCGATTTGACTGATATTCAAACGTGGTTTGTGGACCACGGGAGATGGTGGAGTTACTGAGGTCCACATCTCAGAGCTCTCTCTGTGATTCCCTCTCCTTTCCTTGTATTGTAAATGACGTGATGACGCGCTCTCCGGGATGAAGTCAAATTTGCGTCATTCCTGCGCACATGCAGATCAGGCGTCTCCCAACTGCTTTACGTATCTTTTAAAGACACAGCGTATTCTGTACACACGCACGCACTCACGCGTCGGTATACGAGATCACGTACACACACGTACGCGTGCAGAAGTGCGTTGATGAATTTTCTGTAGAAGGCAGGGAAGAAAAAGTGAGCGGGGGAGGACGGGGGTGGGAGACAGGGTGAGGTTTAGAGAAAACAACACGAGAGAAAAGAAAAGACAAGATATGAAAATATGAGACAAAACGACATGTGGCCAAAAGAAATAGACCAAAAATACAAGACTAGACAGAAAAACATGGCAGAGAAGTTAAAAAACGAGAAATACATGAAGAACAACAGGAAGAAAGCTGAGCAGAAGTTTAGGAAAAGTAAAGAAAAGAGAAGAAAGAAAGAAGGAAAGACCAGGAGAGATGAAGTTTGGTGTTCATAAGACACCATAAGTCATATTCCAGAATGAAAAATTTGAAAAAGTTTGATCTCTAGGAGAGAGATCGTTTCTTCAGAAATGAAGGGAAAATATAATCAGTGAATGTATGGAAAAAAACTCCATTCGTAAAAGTAATTTCGTACAGTTTGTCTGGAACCACGGACGTCGTTAGGTCCGTGTTTACTGTCAGATTTGACTAGGATTTTGCACTGAACTGGTTGTAGTTAAACTAATTCAATCAAGGACCAGGAGTTTAGGAAGAAATTATAGAAATTATAAATGATATTTCAAAATAATTTACATTTCAATCTTGATTTTAATTGATATATTTGCAAACATTTTTCATCATAAACATACGATTTGTGATTTAAAAAAATATAAGAAGATATCCTGCAGACTGAGGAGAGAAGGGAAGGAAAGAAAAGAAAGTTCTCCAGAAACCAGGTTCTGATTGATGTTCTTCATGAAAGTTCTCCAGAAACCAGGTTCTGATCGATGTTCTTCATATAATGAATTAATTGACGAAGTCTTTGTAGGAGAAGGAAACTCTTTGGATCGCTGTGCGCGCGCATTCTGAACCCCCACAATCCCCTGTTTCCCAATCCTAGTGACGCCCCTGCCTGGAAACAAGACGGTGTTTTAGGTCGAAGACACTTCCAGGACCATGGACAGCGACACGTCCAAGGATAAATGATCTCTATAGTGAGGCCTTAGACAGTGTTTTCGTGTTTTTTAAACGAAATTTGATACAGATAAGACATTTTATAGGATGTCTAAGGATCAGGGGACAAAACAACAGAGTGTTGGGTTCAAGTTGAAACAAGACCAGATAAACCACTGTGGTATTAGAGCCAACATCAGCTGACAGTGACCGCAGTGTCAACGCAGTAAAAACAACCAGCTTCACTCACATTCACACCCATGTCGACATTTTTAATTACATACAATTAATGTTAATAGTATCTTGTTGTACTATTTTCACCACATTTTTAGGAATGTTTCATATATATAGGCAGTACGCAGCAGATAAGTAAACTGGACTTTTCTTTTCTTTTAAAGATTTCTGCTTTTTGAACTCCTGTACTCCCACATCCGGTGGCTGAGTCATGGATAATTATAGTGAAAATCAATAAATCAAATTTTAGTCCCATGACTGTGTATTCAGAGAAGTAGCCAACGCTGCTGTGGTAAGAATGTTCAAATGATCACAATTAAAATGTGAAAATAATTAAAATAAAAAATATTTTCTCCTGCAATGCACATGCCTTTAGTAGAAGACTTTAGATGAAGACTAAAAACAGTCCTACGCCACAGTCCTTTTTCTAATTGTCTTGTTTGTTATTCAGTTTAACACTTGCTGCATTTTAACTTCATTAAGCTTCTTTTCTCTACAGACCAGTGCTCTTTTCTGCTGCCGCTCTTTTCATTTCTCAGTCAGTGCATCTACACCTTGGCTCTAGACTGCTTACTGCTAAAATTGCTCTAAGGTACAGTAACAGTCTACAGTCATGGCTACAGATGTCTGAGTAACCTCTGCTGCCTATCTGAGGCTGACTCTGTGGAAAGACCTTTGCTGCTGCCGCTGACACTAAACCCTTGGCAGACATTACTGAAGCTGCATCTGTTAGAGTGAGTGACGCTCACTTTGAAACAAACGTTGATTTATTTAAGTTCAGTCCCACTGGGCCTCTGCCATCGCTTCCATCTCTTCTGAAGACTTCACACAGTGACATCATCAAAAGCAACAATGACGTTAGTGTTGCTGCAGCCAATGCCGCAGCTGCTCACACTGTCTCCATGGTAACCGTGGCATTAGATTGTTACTGTAGCAACAGCATCTTGTAGTAACAGTCTACAGCCATGGTCGCTAGGGGGCACAAAACACAACAACTGCGTGCACAAAAATAAATCAGAGAAGTGCTTCACATCGGAGAACAGTTAACAGAACAGAGTAAGACGTAAAACCTTGATTTGTGTTATGTATATTTTTATTTTAAGGTAAAACAATTATTTAGAGTAAATGGTTAAAAAATACTTTTATTTGTTAAGTGTGATGTAAATTCCTGACTTTTCTGACGTTTCTTTAGCACCAAGCATTTGTATTACGTATGATGAAATTGTAATCAGCTCTCCGTCATCAACACAGCACATAAAATCATTGGTCAGTCACTGCTCTATCTGTGAATACTGAAAACAAAAATACAATTAAACAGTCATTAAACAATGAATTCTGATGGTTTCTTGTCTTTTTTTCTGAAGTTATTTAAGTATTAAGCAAATGAAGCAAATTTTCATTGTCTTAGTAACATTTCAGTTATTTCTTGACAACATATTGCTCACATTTAGATAGTCAAATTTTTGATTTTTAAGTCGTATATTTACGTCACTCGTCATGGACTACTGCCAAATACTGCATTAAGTTATGATGCAGACATGATCATGACTGATTTCCTGCGTGACAAATGCATCGACTGTAATTACATTTGATGCCACTAGATGACGCGTTACTTTTGTTGGGGTATGATCATCTCTCTGGTGTTACAGAAGATACTGCCACCTAGTGTATGTATAAGAGCAGACGAGCACGACGACGATAACCTGACGATGAAGTCTCACACCAACTCTGATGCACTGGAAACACATTTTTGAATTCTTTGAATTTAAGGTTTAATCTTGTACATTTCATTTATTTTATTTCACACAATTATTTTACATCAGGTTTTTTGACCACACATTATTTTAAAGGCCACCTAATGGTACAAAGCTAACCATTCAGAATAGAGTTTCATGATCACATGACCTAAAATATTTATAAGAACAAAAGTGATCAGCTGGAACTTTGTGCTTCTCTCTGTTGTAGTATCAGTATCTAGTTTCAGTTCATGCTCAGAACTCAACACCTGCAAATCCTCAGAACACAGCAACTTAATCCGTTTCTGTCCATTTAACTTTATGTCTTGACTTGCGTTGAGTTCTTTGTGAAAAGATCGATTTTATGTAATTGGTTTTGTCTTCCTTCCAGAGACAAAGTTTTCAGTGAAATAATCCCCTCTGTTCGCCTCGTCATATTCCACCTTCTCCTCAGGTCGGATTAATTTGTTATTTACCTTCAGTGGAGCTGCAGACATCCAGGCTCAGGTTATCTTCTGTCATTCCCCCTGACAGCCACAGGAGGTGCACTGGTTCTGCCCACGCTGCTTGTCCACAGAATGAGGTGGATTTAAGTGAGGTTTCTGCAAAACACCAGACAAATGGAGACAGTGTTTGTGAGGATGTAAGATGTCAGAAAACCTGAAAAACAACAACAAGAGAGATTACAGGTAAAAAGTGTGAAGGACAAATGAAGAGGTAAAGTAAGAGAGAGGAAATAAAAGACTGGGAAGTAGTGAAGACGATAGGAGACGAAGGATAGACGATAAGGGTGGAAAAAAGAAGACTAATGGTTTTTGTATTTTCTCACTAACAATAGAAACATGGAGCATTAGCTGAACTCGAGTGGTGGTAATGAGGCCTGGGTTTTCAAACAGTTACAACAACAGATCCCTTTTTCATTTTGACGTCTATTTTTAGATCCATGTCTTACTGCCACTTGGTCGCTGGGGGCCAGTGTTGTTCCAGATCCAGTTTGTGTTTCAGTCTCAGAGGCAGAATAAAGTAAAATGCAACTCTGGAACGAATTTGAATCCTGAAGACCTGGATTTAGGACTTATTTTAAGTGATTGTTACGTGTGAAGGGTGACAACAGATCTGTTTTTAATGACAGTGTGTGACTGAAGCCACATGTTCAGAACCATAATCCCGTGAGCACAGCTAAACCACACATTCTCCGCCTCTGTGACTGATCACCACTTTTGAACTGTTGAACCTGAGTAACACGGGGCACAACTGAACATATGGCACACACACACTCACCCGCGCTGAAGTGCGTGCAGGTCGTCTAGGTTGGTTGTCGGGATGGTTGGGCGTCCACGGCCCGAGGCTCTGATTGGAATAGAAGTCCATGGGGTAAGTGTCGTTCCAGGCTGTGTCTTTTAAAGCTACAGCTGCCTGTGAGACACAGAGGAAGATGATGGAAAGTATTTAATGATGAAACAGGAAACAGAACTAAATACTGTGTCAACAATTCAAAGAGAGAACAGTTGTCTGTTTTTTTACCCTCCACCTGCCTCAACATATACCATTTTCTTCACTAAGGTGAAAGAGTGACAGAATGGTACGATCTTTCATCTGCAATACAGAAAATCCTTAAATCACCATCTCCCCAAATTAGTACTCAGATAAGAAGGGTTATATAAGTGAGGGCGTCAGGCATCTTTGTCACATGATTATTAAAATCTTATTCAAATTGATCAATCTTCACCAACCTGAGTTATACTTTAGTTATGCTACTACAGGCCTAGACTGCTGGGGGGACTGTTTGCTCACTCCCCATTTTTCCCATTAATCCTTGTAATCATTTTAGAAAAAAAAGTAAAAATAATCAACAATAACAGGCAGAAACTAAGCCTTATCTCAGGTGTGTCTTCTGTTCAATCATGAATGATATCATGAATATGACATGACTAAGGACAGGTAAGAGGATGGATGAAAAGGGACAAGAGATTCAGAAAACTTTGAAAAGACGATTAAAAGTTTCTGGGAGTTTCTGCTCTCAGGGATCAGCAGAAGTCCAGCAGGACGTGGCTCAGCACAGGCAGCCTCATCAGGAGGAGGTCCAGTTTGATCCTTCTAAGTTGAAAACGGCATCAGGATGAGATTTAGTAATGGGCGGTAGCCACATTTTGGGAAGGGCAGCGTGGTGGACAAAGTAAAATACGACGATCTGAACATTTTGGACATTAAACACAATTTGTGAAGCAGTCCTCAAAATAAAACTCACTACCTTGACGGTCAAAAATGTGAGCACTTTGTCTGTTTCTGTTGGTATTTTAAAAGAATACCTTATTACATAAAGGGTGTTATATATTTGAAGAGTGCAGTTTATTCTACTGACAGACGTGCAGTATATTAATTATAACTATTATATTTCATGGGAAACAAAAGCTGCATCATGTGCAACCTAAAGATGAAAAAATGGTTTCATTTTATCAGACTTGTCATTTTCATAATCTAGCAATATAAAAAAAAAACAAGGTCGCTTAACAAAAGAAAGAAGGGAAATAACAAAGAATTACAACAACCTGGGTGGGTGGGTGTTGTCCTGGACTGTAGGTGCTGCACCAGATCTCTGAAGATATGCTGTATCTTGACTCAGTGTGAATCCATTAGTTTTATACTGTATATATATAATGTTATGTTATGTAATGTAATGGTCAGGTTATTGTTTTTAAGACAACTGGAGGTTTTCCAAAAACGTTTTGATTTAATATCAGGTTTAGAGGTGTACTAGAGTAAAAGTATATATATATTAATATAGCGCCGCGTCTATTCCCTCTCTCCACAGACTCTTCCTCATCTCTTGTCTCCTTTGCCCTTGATTCTCAAACCCTGCTGCTCTCCCCACCTCTCCTCTCTTGGTCTTTCTCTGAGGAGGCTCGCTTCTCTTACTAATCCACACACTGACAGGAGCAGAGGAGCCGAGTGTGTCTTATTGACTATAAATATAACATGAGGTGCACTGAAAATAAATGCTGCTGCTAAAGCACCATCCACCTCCAATACATCCCCAACACACTCGTCTCTCCCAGACTTCTCCTGCTCACCTCAGCCTATTATCTCTGTCCTCCCATCTTCATTCTTAATGCAACAGCAAAAACGTTATCCATGAAGTGCTCGCTATGAATGAAGCAACGGGAGGGAAAATGATGTTTGCCTTTCTCTAATTACTGCAAACTGACCTTAAACTCATCACTGTGACCTACCCTCCTGGGGAATAATGAATATTGTCACCGATGATTTTGGCTTTCTTTTTTTAAAGCAGCAGGACAGTAAATGTAAGAAGATGCTGTTAAGGAGAAAAAATGCATTTTGACATTTATAATATTCCGGACATGAATATCTTATAAAACACAGTACGGGGGTCCACGGTTTACAACATCCTGACTTACGGAGTACTGTGCTTACGTCGCCATCTCCCATAAATGTATTAATAAAGTGATGGTTTTTCATTGCGGGGTATGGCATTTAAATAACAACTAGTTAGTGAGTGGACAAGTACATTGTCACGCAGTGCCATATACGGAAGATGGTTTTGTTTTCATTCGCTGGTTGTACACCATACTGTGTGTAGTGTATTCATAAAACATATTTCTACTGTTTCAACTGGACTTCTTTCTAAACAGTGGCTTGAACAACATTGGTGTGTTGTGTAGGTATGCTGTATGTACATATACAGTATGTGCATCAGGCTCTGAACCAGCCACTTTAGTGAAGACCCATGGGATGCATGCTTACCTCGTATGGAGACAACAGAGGTTTGGAGAAGGCAGAACCCCAATCAATAGACAGACGTGGACAAGCTATCTGGATCCATCTGAAACAGAAACAAGACACAGGTCTGTGAACCTTTGAATTCAAATGTTAAAGGTTTCTAACCTGGCATGGAAATGTGTATGTTATGTATTTGCACAATGTAAGTGCTATGGAACAGAGCAGTGATCATGAACAACCCCACGATTGGATTACAAAATAAATATCACATTTTTTTTTAGACAGAAATTTGACTTTTATTTCATTTTATGTGAGTGTCCAACGCCCAAGTTGTAGTTGTACAGTTGGCGACCCCTGAGGTAGAGGCTAGATAGAGGTTAAACAGAAAGGTAGCCAAAACAAGAACTGCTAGTTGTGCTAAGAAATAGTACAAAACCTGATTAGAAATACTTGTTAACATACAGAATGTAAAAGGATAAGTTCACCAAAAATAGGTAACAACGCAAGAAAAGGATAAACAATCAACAGGTCTGGGAGTATAATCAATAATAAAGTTGAAGATTTTGCCGGCCTCAATATATATTTCCATGTTTGTTTTCCTCCGTTCGGCCTCCAAACAGGCTGTGAAACTAACAAACCCAGGTGCAGAGACTGATGCAAAGAATGAACCTGAACTCTTGACAGTCTTGCACTCTTTGCCTCTGCAGGGGGAGGAGTGCAGCAAGTGAACCTAACGATGAGCAACGTAGGGTAACATGGTAGGAAAGGAGGCAAAAAGATGATTGTAAAGCCAAACACCACAGCCCCAGAGTGGCAATAATTTGGTTTCAATCCAAATGAGCAAGATTAGCCCATCAACACAGACGAGCCAGTAGAGGGCGCAACAATTAAGGCAGCACAAAAAACATTTATGAATATCTATGGACATAGAGACAGTGTTGGAGTAAACGCAGCAGAGACAGGGGGTAGGCTGAGATGGAGGCAGATGATCCACTGTGCCCCCCCTCCACCCTCACCTCTCCCTCCCCCGCCCAGGAGTGATTACAGCGAGAGTGATGTGAAGCTGGCAGTAAAGGTGTTAAATGGTATGTAAGTGGTAATGAAGAGGGAGTGGAGGTGATAATAAAAGTAGGTACTGATGGTGGAAATGTCTGAGAGTGGAAGCTGTGATAGAATTACTAATTACTACTTACAGTGAGGAAGTGGTGGTGAACGCAATCACAGTGAAGAAGATTGTCAAGTTGATGAAAAGAGCAGTTGGTAGAGCAGGTGGTCTGGGTCGTAGTAATGGTTTTCTAATTGTAAAGGTCACCAAGGTGGTCGTACAATGGTTGTGGTGAGTAAGAGACTAGTAAAGGTGGAGAAAAGGAAGTGATGGATGAAGTCAAGGTAGAGACGTTTACCAGGTGGTGAGGGGGTGGCATTAGTAAAGTTGATACTGGTGCTTGTGAAAGGGCAGAAGGTCAAGTACATGATGGTGAAACAGTTCCAGTCACTGCTGATCAGCCTGTGCCACTAAGACACACTAAGGTGAGTAAATATGAATAACAATAACGCATACTGAAGAAAACACCGCAGTAGCCAGGTCTCTGTGGAGGTAGCCTACATAGCTGGCAGACAGTGTGGTGGTGGGTGGTGCAAGAGAGGTACGGGGGGCGGGAGGGGGGAGGGGGAGACACAGATACTACATTTTGAGCCTTGAGGATGGAAACAGAAAAGATGATAATGAGGCACGAGGCACGAGGAAGGACAGAGAGATTAGCAGCAGAGGGAAGTGTTTACACTGGAAAGTCATGAAAGAGAAGGAGTCTCAAAGACATACTGGGGAGGGGCAGGGGACGGGAGGGTGGGAGAGAGACATTTACACAGCTAGGGGGGAAAGTGAACAGTAGGGAATGGAGATGGGTGTAAGCATCAGGACTAGGAGCTGATCAACAGTTCTGTTGCCTCAGTGCTGCAGGAGATTCTACGTCTTTGTAACTGCGGTGCCTATTGATAACGATTGATGTCCATCAGAAATTCTGAATGAAAAGTAATGAATGAAATGAATACAAATGCACCAGAATATCAACGTCTACGTCTGTCAATATGGTAACATTCACTGCACCAAGTACATAAAAATAACTTGGGTATTAACTTTCCCTGATGATTTGCCAGAGTGTGTGCCAGCACTGGCATATACAGCAGGTGATTATTGAATTCATCTGTAGTGTCACTGCACCAACGTATACTTAGCTAAGAGATTGTTTGGGCCTTTTTTTCTGCTCAGTGTGTGTGCTCAAAGAACTTCAATGGCAACTTGGCAGCTGGTGGACTCGAACCTGAAACCTCCCTTACCCAAGTGCGCTTCCTTAACCACTAAGCCACCACTGATATACGCCTACTTTTAATCGCCTTAAAAATGACATGTCATCAACCTTCACAGGGTGGATCAGTCATCCAGGTCAAACCCAGGCTAATCCATTGATGCTCTCCAATACATTTGAATTCAGCATTAAAAAACAAACCTGAAACACTGTAAAAACACTGTATCTAAATTCTCACACATTTCAGAACTGAAATATAACTGAACAGAAATAAACCTTTTTTTACCTATATATAAATCCTTTAAGATGACAGGCTGTATGAGCTCAGTGAGAGGTTAAAGCAGAAGGCTGATAAAATCCTCCCGGCATAACACTGAGAGGAACGACTGCAAAGGAATGAAGAGAGATTTTCTCCTGAGCAGTTGATTGGTGACAAACCCATAGGAAGTGTGTCTAAAATTAGCACTGAGACTGTGTGAATCTTGTTCAGTTCAGGAAAAGACCTGCCAGGTATTGCTCCCAGAAGGAGCAGTTATTTAATTTCCCTTCCTTAATTCATTATGATGCATAACCTGGTTTCTGGCTCCATGACTGTGTAGCCACAGATGCTTCCACTGTAAAAGTTGAGCTAAATAAAAATGCATACATGCAGTGACCCTGTCAAAGTCAGCTGCAACAAAGTCTGTTTTTCTTCTTTACTCCGGACATTTTCTGAAACTTTATTGTTGTAAATAATGTGTGAAAGAATGCAGCCAGGGTGACATTTTTGATAAGTTCAGCACTCACGCGTCCACATCAGGCATAAGATCCAACTTCCCTGGAAAAATCTCAGAAAGGAGCACTCGAGTGAAGTCTTTGCCCAAAGAACTCAGCCTTGACTCCAGGTGCTGCAAATGAAAAAAAGAAGAAGAAAAGAAAGTAAAGTAAAAGTTTAAATGATTTAAGAACATTCCCTCAAACAAAAACCCTTCCTAGAGGTTTCCAACTTCACAGCACTGCTGCAAATCGAGCTTTTCTAGACTTCCAACGAAACCTTTTCTCTGCCTAAAGCTTTTAAATCGATGGGAATCCTACGGCTGTTCAAATACTCCACCAACTTCAGTTTGCAGGGAGCAGGAAAGTAACTTTACAGTCAAGTTTCCCCACGTGTGTGTATGCATTATAATGGAAAACCTCCAAACACACACACACACACACAAACACACACCAATGTTCAGAATGAAGCCCGTCCTGATATGTAACAATATGTAAAGAGACTAATGTTATGTCTACATTTTGTCACTTGGTGATGCCCTCTGCAACACTGAACAGGTGGGTGGTTTCTTTGTATGTATTTGTCCTGTATAACTTTAATGTCTCAATCTGGTTAAATCAGGCAAAATATTTATTTTTTATAAAAAGAGTTTTAGCACAACAAAATATTCTCTGTCGTGCCCGGCCAACCAAAGTTCAATAAGGAATTATTTTGATACTTTGTGAGTCTCACATTTTCTAGACCTGACCTTCTAGTCCTTTGTGCCAATCATCATGAGGTCTTTCATGGTCTTTCTACTGCTCAGTGATCTCAGTGTTAACCATTGAAATCCTCAGCAGAAACGCCCAGATGCATACTTCAGGTATAAAGATGGATTCTTTACCAGCCTTCAGTAACACACTGGTACTAAATACTGCCTCAGTGTTCTGAGGACCAGCTGGACAGAAACAAACTCTCACCTCCAAGACTTTAGGGCTGCCCTGTCGACCCAGCGTGCCCACAATCAAACCCCATCTCTGAGCATGGCGAGCAGTGTCAATGGCCCTCAGTCTTAAAGCACGCATGGCCTGGTGGTCGTAGTACTCCCTTGTGAAAACTTTACTGTAGGGGTCATATCTTCAAATATAAAAAAACAGATGAATAATTAAAATAAATGGACATTTTGTGTCAGATAAAAGTATGATGAAAACATATTACTTGTCTCCAACAGTTACTTGTACTATATTTTAAAACCAGAATTTAACTACATTTATGTCTCTACAAACCTGTATGCTGGGATGTCTGGATTTGCAATCATAATGGACTCCAGATGAAATCTTCCATCTCCCAAATAACTGAAAAAAACAACGCACCAAAACAACAAAACAATTACAACACACCAGACTTTGCCAAAACCTATATATGAAATTCTCAAAGAATGAAATGATCTTTAAACCTAGCAAAGACAATGCTAAATGGTACATGCTAATGTAAAATTAGCTTTAAGGCAAGCAACAAATTTGGTGAATCTAAAAGTAGATCAGTAACAGTCACACCTAGAGAGACAATACAGACAAATGTCTAACGCAATATAAAAGAAACCTAAACATAACATAAACACAGATACACAAACCTCCAGGAGCCTAAAACGTGCAGAAAAATGTGATTTATGCACAAGGGGAAAAAAAGCTACTGTTACCATAGTTCTAGTGAACGGAATAAAAAAAAATATTAGCCCTGAAAGGTTTTTTCTGTTTCTGACTTTTATGCAGGTATTTTTACCTTTGAAAAATTTGAAAAAGTCAAACAATTTGCTAAGAAAATAACTACATGAGATTTGGAATGCAAGATACTGGTTCATAAGCTGAGTTCAACAAGTTCTTGCTTTTTTGAGCCACAGAATATTGATATTGATGTAATGTTTACTAGTATGCAGCAAGTAGTTTATATATATATAAATATATACACTTGCAAGAAAACAAGAGTGAAGAGAAGCACAGTGGGCACTATAAGTCTTCAAGTGTTGAAAGAGTAACTGTGAAAAACAAGTTTCTCTATGAAGTGGAGTACATCGTGTGTAGCTGCGTCTTTCTGCCTGTGCTCATTACTGGATCTACAGTCACACAGAGACGACGCTGGTGTCACAGCCAGCTGCTGTGGGTTAGGATTAAAACTGAAATTCTGTCAAATCACAGGAAACAAAACATGCAAAAGTAAGGCGTGAAGGTGACAGCTGCACCAGCAGAGACTTACATGATGGCATCTACATGTTGATCCAGGCGAGGGGAGGTGCAGCCCAGGATTTCTCCTGGTGACAGAGGTCGACACTGGGGGACCAGGACGTCAAAATCTGATTTGAGAGCTGAACTTACAGCCTGTGTTGTCGAAGCAAGAAAACAAGTTAGAAAAATACCTTCTTTTTTTAAAATGCACATTTTGTCGATGAATAATTCTCTGAACTTTAATGATTAGTAGCAAGAAAACAAGTTAGAAAAATACCTAACCATAACGTCTATAAAAAAGAAATATATAATATTGATTAGGGAGTTAAATACTTCATATTATTATGTTATACTAACTTGTGCAGTATTTGCCAAAATTAAAAACATTTGGGGTAAATATTTAGTGATTACTAAATACACAACTATTTAGGTTACAATGTGTAAAGATAAAGTATCTAATGTTGTTATGACTAATATGTTATGATCACAATGATGAGACATTACTTCCCTGAAAAGGATTAAACAGTTGATGACAGCTTTTCATGACATCATCATACTTTGAGATTGTAAACTCAGAGATGAACTTTTCTTAACTTTGATTAGAACCTAGCAGAACTGTTAAATTACCTGCAGCGCTGCTACAAACTGAATGGTGCTAACTAGTACCAGAGACTGTCCGGGGCTAAAGTTAAATTTAACTGTGTCCAGGAAGTGAGCGTTGTCCATCTGGATGTCCACAAACACGTAGAGCATCTTAATGCTGGCAGTAGAGTCGATGGGAACTGAGGAACACAGAGAGGGAAAAACTATTTCTCATGTCAGGGGATTGTGAAATACTTATGAAGTCACTAACATGTGACACAGAACATGCCGTTATCTATTTATACAGTCCTGACAAACACACATTGGGCTGAAGCTCGACATGTGTGACGACCAATATTTATTTAATGTTTCCACTCATGCCTGACGTCGTAACTTCTCTATAAATAGCTCTGTTAGTTAAGATAGCTAGGAAGAGAGTGGGCTCAAACACGTGCCACATGCACAAGCTGCTGCCTAACACATACAAGGCCGACGCCATGGAATTAAAGCTGCGCATGACATTAATTATATTTCAGTCAATTAGTTGTTTTTGAGGAATAAGGACACTGTCCACAGTCACTGAATGACAGAGAACTCTGAGGAATGTCTGGGACATAAAGTGACCAACAGGACGCCCCAGATAATGGAGGTCAGACAAGAAAGGCAGAACAACAGGTCACCTGAACTAGTATACATACATATACATTATCTGTTTGTTGTAGCCTTAGCCATGACTTGGTTAAAGAATACAAAATCAGTTGTAATCGAGATGTAGTAAAGGCTAAAAGTATTTATGTGAGTCAAACGTTTGGCCACTCCTGCTCTACACAGTACATTACATGATGTTTTCCCATATCTCTTATGTACCTTTTGTTCACTTCATTTTAGAGTTAGGAGACAGAAGATCTATAGTGTTTCTGTTATGGACTATAGCAATAACATACATATTCATACAGCAGTGTTGGTAGAAAAGACTTGGTCCTGATAAGAAGATAAAGGTCAAACATTGGAATAGAAAAAAACAAAACAATCCCTGCCCTTGTATAAGTTTACATTTATAAAAAATATCATACAATTGAGTATGATGTTTTTATTTATTATAAGATAATGGTAATTATTGTTCATAATAATACAACACCTACAGTATAAGAGTTTTCCACTACAACTGAGGTAAAACTGCTGACTCTTAGTCTAAGAACCACTTTGGAACCAATGCAAGGGCAGCTATTATTTCAGGGACTCGAGGGCAGTCATGCAGTTACTATTAATGACATTAATTTCACAGACCAGCTACTATTCATGTAACCCACGGTGACCACTGATTCTTCCTGAGGTAGGTGATGAAAACCAGTGTTAGATTCAAACAGAAAATGAAAACTGTAGTACATTATACTGGTGGAATTGCATTAGAATTATGCTAAAAAGATAATAAACCAGGGTTCTACTTGTACTTTGTTGAAATAATATCCTGTGTGGACTGTCAGAGGCCAACTGATATTGTTTTGCAGCCATTCTAGGTAAAGTAATAAGGATTAATTCACCTTATTTTTATTTTAACTGTGGACAAGCTATTTGGTTACCAAATTCTCTGGGCATCTGTATCAATAAACCTATTTGTAAATTGTGCCTCAGCGCAGTTTTTTTATAACGTTCCCAAAATAGAAGCACCTCTTGTAACGCAGACATCAATCCAGTTAACCTCAAGCTGAAGCAGCTAGCTTGTCATTATTTAAGCAAGTGAAATGTGGCCTGTTTCATTCCTCCTGTCCTTCATCCATAAATAAGAGTTTGCTGATGTTGTTGAGAGTGGGGAGCCGACATCTTCATTTTTCTTACAATATTGCTATTTAATGCCATTACAAATTCTTCTTCTGCAACAAACCCCTATTTCTTGTATGGGAAAAGTGCAGTAGCTCACCAAAAAACTGCCATACAATGACACCTTTGCTGTCTTTGTGACAAGGAAAGACGAGAAGAACTCCAATATTCAATAGCTGAAGCCTCAGATGAAATGGAAAGGAAATAAAAGAGCGCCCACAGATGGGTTCTCTCTGCGTCAGCCGGCGAACAGCATCTTTGATCTCACAGGTGTATGACATTCAAGGGTGAAGACCAGGCAGAGTCATTGTGACGCAGTAACATTGATCAGAAAAGCTCACACACCACAGAATTTATTCTCACCATACTTTTAAACCTCATATTCATAAGCAGGCAATAAGAGCACCACGTGAATACAGGATAACATCAAAGTAGTTTTGACAGAATTTCGTTCTTCACAGCAATAATGTGTCCGTGGACACATCACAACACTCTATTTTCTCTGTATTTTCTCTGTTCACTGCCCAACGGCTACACTTTAATATCAGCAGCACACAGGTCCATGAAACCAAAATCCTGTTCCACTAGTGATGGCTTGATCCGATACTCGGGATCAGTATTGGTCTGATAATGAGAATCAAATGTGAATGAGATCAGTATCCGGGTTGCAGTATTGGTATGGGACATGAAGAAGTTCAATGGAGCCAATCCTTGTTTTCAACATACAGAAACGGGGGCTTGATTGGATCTAGCGTTTGGAGAAAGCTAAAATAACCTATTAGAAAACCTATTGTCACCTCTAAGAAACCAATTTAAGGTGATTTTATCATGGTGGATACTACACAGGAACTAAGTGAGCAACAAAAGCTAACAGTGATAAGATTGTGACATTAGACCCATGTGTTTTTTAACACAAAATGAGGGGGGGAAAAAAGAAAAATATCTTTGCACAGCTTTAAAAGAGGGGAAATGGCACTAAGGGGAAAAAAGGATCTGATCAAGAATCTGATAAGCCGCAGGTAAAGACAATGCTATGGATAACAAGGCAGAAGCTTCCAGCAGGGTAGGGTAGGACAGAGCAGACCAGAGCAGGACAGGATGTTTCCTGTTGCATTTTTAATTACTGCATATTTAATTAAAAACTAGGGCAGTGGTGGCTTAGTGGTTCAGGAAGCGGACTTGGGTCCAGAAGGCTTCAGGTTTGAGTCCACCAGCTGCTAAGTTACCACTGAGGTGCTCTGAGCATGGCTCCGTCCCCACACACTGCTCCCCGGGAGCATAAAGCTGCCCACTGTTCACTTTGGTGATGGGTTAAAAGCAGAGGTCAGAGGTCACATTTGGTTGTGTGCAGTGGTGTGCTGTGTCACAATGACAAGGTGTTCATTTTTCTTCCCTTCCTTGTATCTGACTTAGATATTTAATGTTCTCTAAAGTTCATGTTTTTTTTTTTTTTCAGTTGCTTTAACAGTGGCGGCTGGATGACTCTGTGGGCCACAGGCCGCTGGTTAATGATCACTGGTCTGGATCGTTGTGTTGTAGAAGAATCTGTAGTCACAGCATTAGCAGCATGAGTTACAGTAGGTGTTTAGCAGTTTCACTCATCTGTCTTTCTCTAACTGCACTGATGCAGAACAGTTGTTGTGTGTCTAAGATTGAGTGATTTATTGTTACTGATGCTCCTTCCTGATGCTGCGACCTTCCGGTTTTAAGTCAGCTTCCTTAACCACCAGGCCACCAGTGCAGCGCAAATCCTGTTGACCTTAAGTTACTTTGTGTGGTCTATTCTGACAGTGGACTGACAAAGAGAAAACAGAGTCATAAACAGGGACTCACTGAGACAACTGTGTCCATAATGTACCAAGAAATCAGCTCCCAGGGCTCGGGCCGTGAAGTCGTCCACACAGCAGGCGCCGTAGGTCACATCTCCCATCACAATTGTGTCTGCTTCAGTGAACCTTAAGAACACAGAGAGGCATTCATCAGTCATCACACAAAGTGCCTAAATTCCTGCCTAATGCCAGTCTAATGCTTCTTTGTCACAGCGGGGAAAAATAATTGAAAATATCTGCCTGCAGTATCACTAATGGACTAAAACTAATTAAAATTAGCACAAGTTTTTAAACACCGAACGAGGCTCTTCTGAATGAGTTATAATTAATTTCAATTAATTATCACTGAAAATTATTTTACCGCACATTATTAAAACTATTAATTTGTATTAAACAATGAGGTGAAGACACTGGTGGTCATGTGGTAAATAGACATCTCTGCCAAACGTAAACACACTGTTTATATGGTCAACACATGACTACACTATTGATAGCAGAATGCTCACAAAATGCTAAATGCTAAAATATTGTCAAGGAATAAAACAAACCTACTCATTTTGTAGTCAGTGTGTGTTGTTTCTCCTCTGCAGAGATTAAACACTGACCAAAGAAGGAACCAGTAGATGGATACTTTGGGTTTTAGGACAGATACTACATGGAAATGTTCATATGTCCCTGAAAATTGGACGATCATACAGATTAAAGGTTGTAAGGTAGTCCCTCAAACTCAGGGAACACCACAAGCTCCTCAAATGAAAGCTGATTTTAAGGCAGACCTTAACTACTTCAAATGTGATAGCATTATACATGTAACTGCAGGTGATGGATCGTGAGGACACTCTCAGTGAAAGACTATTTAAAGTCTTGTTATGTTCTCGCTGACCTCAAATTTATTGGAGCTTCCTACAGAAAAACCGCTGCTGACATCTCCTTAAAATGTCCTTGGACTGAAACTCTGATATAGTTTACCTTTGTACAGAGGAAGGAAGGAGCAGTTTAAGATTATTCCCAAGTATCTATACTATTCCATTATCTCTGCTGTCGACCAGTCAACAATTGATCGATTAATAAAAAACATTTATTGAAATTGTACCAGCAACTTTACCTACAAATAACAAAAAGCACATTAAATAGCATTGCACTTTATTGGGATAAATACATGGCATCAGCATGACACGATTAATGATTTGCAAAAGTAATTTCAAAGACAATTATTCCTAGCTAGAGTAAAACAGCTGGCATTCAGCATTCTCCATAGGCGACAAGATTCTTCTTTGAATTGTATATACTGTTTATACACTATATGCAGTGTAATGCAATTTGCAGTGATGGAATGTTGTAGTTAAGTACACGTTCACTTGCAATTCCTTGCAACCTTTACCAGCTGGATATTTGAATCTTAAGGCTTCAGATTATGTGCTATATTCCAATAATCAAGTGAATAACTGCGGCAGAATTCAAAAAATTAAAAGGTACTGTATATAACCTTGGATGGTTATATACAGTGTTTAATATAACACAACTAAATTGAAAAGGATAAACTCTGCATGGTATCCTGGATATATGCTGCCTGCTTTAGAAAGTGAAATACCTCAAAACAATTTTTCTTGTTACCTCTCAATGATGTCAGCGATGACACAGGCAAACATTTGCAGTCCCTCTGGAAGCTGCAAAGCCACTGGTTGGAGAAGGTAGAGAAAAAAAGAAACGAAAAAAACAAAGGCAGAATCAGCACTATTGTTTTGGATCCATGGTCATATCACAGCCCTGTAAACATGGCCAAAGAAGGGCTTAGGAGTTAAATGAGTAAAAACTAATCTCCTGCTTAATTCAGCCATGCAGATGACATTGAAGTGCCAACACTCCTGCTGTAGCTGAGTTAGCAAATGTTGGGACAGTCATGTTAACATAAAAAAAAAAAATCACAATAGCACATATCATGACTTTTTAAAGCCATAGTCCTCAACTTCTGATCAGCTGATGATTAAGTTCTGATAACAAACTGGTTACAATCTACCAATGTAAAACCAAAAAATATTTTGTCAAAGAGTGTGTGTGTATAGTGAAAACTCTTACCTCTCTTAGCTTTAGCTTGTCTTACTCGCCACACAGTCTTATGAATCTCAAAATTATAATTTTGAGGCAGAGCTTTAACTGCTTCCTGTAACTCAGGGTTTTGCAGGATTTCATCTGGAATCTGATTGGCTACCCGGCGTGGTCCCCGCACTGAAAAACAAAAATTCTTTGTTATCCTTAGGCCACAAAACTCGGCACCTAATGCTGTTCATCAATAAACATCAACAGCAGATGTTGACAGTGGTCTCTCAGTTTAACACCATCATACATGGGATATACTATGGAAAATGTGTTCGTTTTTTTTGTACACATATTTGTGTCTCTTGAGGCTCTGCCCACAATGTAATTGCCAGTTTAGTTCCATCCATACTACCAATACAAGCCATTTGTTTCACTCACACATGGCTGCTAGACAGATGTAAATGTACAACCCTAAGGCTAGCTGTAGCTGCTCATTTGACAGAAAAGGAGCACTAGCTTTATTATGTAAATGCTTGAGGCACAAGAAGTGGGTTGTTACTGTTACTGTTTTTACTTGCACCCATTTCTGTCTCACAGCTCCACTGTTGTCACTGTTGTGGAGCCGTATTCTGGTATTTTCTCTGCTGCAGAGGTGGTCAGAGCATGTAGATGCTCATTAACATTTAGAGTTAATAGAACAGAAATGGTGCATTCTGACTATGGCTATTCAACGGGTGTGTAAAGAATTCTGTGATCAACTCCATCTTATTTTTCCAAACCATGTTTTATTTGATTGAGAGCTACGAGATATAAACACAGCAACCTCATCACTTATGGGATTAATCTTGTTGATACAGTCAGTCAAAAATATAGGACGTGAAAGAAGGAAGAAAACAAGTCCTCCCTTTGGATCTGTATAGGGTGTGTTTTTTATTTTATGTATTTAGGTTGTATTTCACTCATTCATTTTCTTAATTGACTCCGTCTTTTTCTCGTTCTCTCAAACACACACACAAATTATTGTTTTAAAATGTTTGAAATATATTCATAGGCTACAGAACTCCGTGTTCAAAGCAGCGAACAGGCTACACAGATGCTCATGAATGCCGTCATTTTTTACCAAACAACATTCGGTGTTCCGTCTTTTCGAGGGACAAACTGTTCGTAGCGACATCGAACGCAAAACAAACAGTCAATGTCAGATACCTGCGGACTTTTTGACAGCTACGGTTTGCTGCACTTCACTCGCCGTCGACGCCATGCTGCTTCTTTTCCTCAAACACATGAAACGAGTGAGGAACAACTAGACCAAAGCAATCGACCGCATAGAGCACAGGATGGTGAGGTCGATGGCCGATATAACCCAACCCTAAACAAAACACTTATTTATTTATTTTTTTGTCGGGCTCCACCCGCAGATTTGTAACCTGTAATGGCACTAATGCACTCCACTGACTGAAGAAGGTAAAAACCACAAAAAGGACAAATGAGTTTGTGCTATACCCAACACACAAAAGTGAAAGAATCTACATTAGAATATATAAATACATTCATTTTTATCTTTTAATTTCTAAAATAGTAGGTAACGGACATGAATATAAATGTAAGAGTATCTCTTAATTAGAGATTTAATAGAAACATGTTTAATGTATTACTTATACATATTGTCGATTACTTTTAAGCCATTTATGTTTGTGAAAATTGATATTGACCTTCAAAACACAGTAAAGTTGTAGATCAGGGACATACAGTAGATGCACCAGTGTTACTACAGTGAAAAATTAAAATAGCAAGTCAGAGTGAAGAGGTTTAGTTTTGGTTATAGTGGTATTTAACCACAGGTAATTAGTGGTTTAGTTTTGGTTATAGTGGTATTTACTTTAGTCTGTTTTTCAACCACAGGTAATTAGCCAGCTAGTTAGTTATTTAGTTAATTAGCTTATCAATAATATCAGCCATTAGATTCTTCGTCAGTCAGTTAGAATGAAAATAACTAAATTTGTCACTTTGGCAGTCAGTCTAGTTACAGGACAGTAACCTTGAAATGGTGTAGTAAGGAACTGCTAATACATTAGTTAGTAAATAGATAGATGGATGGATGGATGGATGGATGGATGGATGGATGGATAGATAGATAGATAGATAGATAGATAGATAGATAGATAGATAGATAGATAGATAGATAGATAGATAGATAGATAGATCAGAAAGAGATGATGATGACGACGGTAATAGAGAGGTTGAAGATGACGAGGAGGATGATGGAGCATTCTGCAGAACCACAATAACAACTGGCAAGAAACACACACACACAGAGAGAGAGAGAGAGAGAGAGAGAGGCAGGCAGGCAGGCATGGAACGTATGTACAAGCACACTAGGGGCGGAATGTGAGTGGAATAACTTCATGTTCGTCACATATTTGGAGAAGTGACAAATGGTTGTAGTTCATCTTTACTGCGCCCTAATGGGGATTTAAATATTTCACGCTTTTATTTATTTTCTCCATGAAATGAAATAGAGAACATTTCTGCTGCTGCCACTGCTGCATCGTGTGTTTTTCCACTGCTGGTCTGACTCGCAGCATCTTCTCAAGTGTGGAACAGGAGCACAGGCTGGAACCGCGGGACGATCGTGTCTGTGCCGCTAACACAGGCACGTCGGACTGCTGTCACATTGAATGGACTCCAAAATAAGATCACGGATGCTTTAGTGTTTTATTGCGTCTTAATCTCACAGTAAAAAAAATGTTTTTGTGTTCGAATCTGACCTAAGGCACGGGAGAGTGGAGCTCAACCGAAAAGGGAGCAACATTTCAGTCATTAAATCCGCAGGAGTGACTGGCAGACCTTCACCGAGACCAAATTCACCTCAGTGTTTTCTCACTCAAATTTGACGCTTAAAAGTTCGTATCCTGGAATATAATACGTGATTCTCAGAGGACAGAAGAGGAAGGACATATACGAAGTCCAAGATGTTTCAGAAGGGTGAGTCAAATTTTGTTGTTGATGTTTTTTGCCTTCTCACATCGGCAATGAAGTTTCGAGGTTGACTTTCATGAAGGATCTCTAAATTGTATTCATTTAATGACGATAATATTTTATAATACTACAGAAGAGACTTTTAATCAATTTACATTTTTTTCTGTATTTATAGGATTTGATTTTGTCTCCATAAAAACTAAATCAGCCGTTACCCGGATGTGTTATTGTTGCTGTTTTAAGGGCTTTGTGTTAACTGACGATTCATTATATTTTCTTAGTTCATATTTAAAATAAACAGACATCCTTGTCTGGGCCACTACAGTTTTAAATGTTTCCAAAGATATTTATGTCTAAAAATGCTAGTTAAAGATAGTAATACTTTATTAAACCCATGATGTGACATTTGATAATATGCTTGATTAATGCAATTTAGATCAACATACTTTTTACTACTGCCTTCAAAGAAAAATATTTATTTCCATAGAAGTATATGAAATACCTGTGCCTGTACCATACATTTGAAATGTGTCCTACGCTTCAGTTCAACTCATGTTGTTGCACACATTTATTATCACAACGAATCCTCTGACATCATTAGTCTCCAGATTTTGTTTTTGATTTTGTTTTTGTGATATCTGCTCACTGGAAGCTGCTGCTCTATCTTTCAGGGCATCAGTTGGTTGATGTGCTTTCTGCTGCTGATATCTGATTACAGCTGAGAGAAAGATACAGTTCAAATGAGAATATATTTCAGAAACAGCCTAGCTTTAGAATGGAGAGATTCAAAAGTACATTGTGTACAACATTTTCAAACTTCACATATTAAAATGTGCAGCAACGATTATCATGTTAGTTTGACTTGGACGGTCTTGAAGTGTATGAAAACACTGTTGAACATTTAAATGGTGGGGTTAATTACAGTAATATATTTCAACCATAGACTTCTGGGCTGGGCTACGTTTATGGAAGGGTTTATGGAGCCCAAATGTATCCAAGTGTATTGACCTTGTGGATGTAGGTGTCACAGGTTTGAGTCTTAATGACTGGTCATTAAGAACGAATCACTTTGGCCTTTTCTCCATTAATCAGGAGTAACTACAGTAACACTCGGCATAATGATTTGTTACAGTTTTATGCCTTCCTAGGAGTCAGAGGCCGGGCTTTGAACCCGGGACCTTTTCCATGACATGGTGCGATTCCTACCTCTGCATCATTATAGTCCTCTCCACTTTGGCCCTTAGTTAGGCTCATTAGACTCAATTTAAAGGACAAGTTCCATGGGAATCCCAGTGTTGCAAATATGCAGCAACATCCAAACAAACAAACAAATTCATCAGTCATTCCTGAAGTTAGCTCTGCAAACTAATACAACTACTATTATTATGATTACGACTGTTCAAACCAAAATAACCCTACTGTCAGATGTGAAGATGGTTTGTTTCGTCCGATGCCCGTTCGTCCTGTTATTGTCCTATCTGAGTAGAACTAACCCTCAGTCCCTACCATCTACACTGCTCCGTTCAGTGGTTATTTTTTCAGTATTACTTGCTTGTTTGTTAATTGTACATATTTCTGGATACTTCAACAGAGACCGTCCAGTTTACTAAGTATTCATTCCTCCTCTGGGATTACCTGTCATCAGTGTTATTTGTATCTGGATCCTTTTCTCAGTCCTGATTTTTGTTTCTGTCCCCTAATATCTTCTGCGTCTCCTTGTCCTCAGTCACCTCGCCTCTGTGACCGTTGCCCTTTCCGTGTTTCGTCTGGACTCATCCTTAATGTGTTTACAGTCAGTCTCAGATTTGTCGCTAAATAATTTATCCACCAGCTGCTGACAGTTCACATAGCAGTCCACAAAATTCATGCCTTAGCGGCAACACACAACATGGAGGATCAAAGATAGGTAAAGATGATGACGGTTTGATGTGTGCGATTTAGGAGAAGTAGATGTACATGCTAGCTTATGTGTTGATGTGTGCGATTTAGGAGAAGTAGAAGAATTCTGTCTCTTACTGTACATGCTAGCTTATGTAAATGCAACAAAAAGTCAGAAATAAATCAAAGTAGCTGAACAATAGACAATAGCAAAAAATTGGTTAAAAAGAAAGTTGTTAACCCGGGGCCAAAACATCAAGTGAAACAAAGGAGCAATAATTACTAATAATACATCAGAAATGTGACAAGGACATGACTAGAATAGAAATAACTTAGTCTTTTCTGATGTTATGTCATCTAGATTATGATGTTACTGCTGTGTTAGCATAGGTGAGTGACACAGGTACGTTCGGACTTACAGCGAAAATCGGGTTATGTTGCGCTGTAGGAACGGAATGCCAAGTTAGTCGAGGACTCTTGTCATAAGGTTGACAGGATGACACAATCAACGCAGGTTTAAATTGTTGTTACCTTAAAGAGAGTCGTGTGGATTTGTTTATTAATTGAATCTAGTTAAGCACCTCACCTAGAACGTTCTTCGGCTGCAATTGTTGGCTCAGTGATTCAGTTGTCTTGGCTTTTCTACAGTCACAGGCAGAAAATCATTTCATTCAAGACAAACAACCTTGCAGTTCAGATTTCATTCGGCTGTCAGTGTAACTGCTGGGTGCACAGTGCAGCAGGCTCGAATCTTCACTGCTGCAGAGGCAGCAGCAACAGCAGGGCAGAAAAATGCATCAGCTTTGGCAGGAGTACAGCAGGAACCCACCATTCACACACACACACACACACACACACACAGGCAGACTGTAGGTTTTCTCTCTCTCTGTCTCTGGTCTCTCTTGAGCAGATATATTATCATGCTTATTAATAGTTGATTAGGTCTTTTCTTAATTACGTTAGGTTCCAGGCTAAATACTCTGAATGTCTGAATTTACATCTGAAATTTTAATGATTGATATTTTTTAATTTTAATTTATTTTTCTTTCTTTTTTTGTACAAGGTTTATGTAGCTGGACTTTAGCCCAACAAATTCTTCCAGCATTTTCATGTCAGGGCATGTTATTTCAGAAACTGTCTGTGAGACTGTGGCTTAACTGAAGTTTCTTGATGTCTTGACATGACTGGTTGGAGTCTGACTGCAAAATAATATTAATACAAGTTTTAAACATGAACTGACAAGCGTTGGCCAGGCTATAAGAAAGTCTGAAAGTCTGGGCTAATTCATAGTCTAAGCTGATTCTCTATTCCATTTAATCATTTTAATACTTTGTTTATAATGTATTAAATCTATTAAATGATGATGTTAGTTAAAAGATAGGTAAAGGTTGTGACACAAATAAATGTTAGTTGAAACAAAAACAAGGATCTAATATAATAAAAAAACTAGTTAGAAATTAGCTTCAGTAGGCTAAAAGTTATTTGGCATTGAATGTTCCCTAAAAATAAGCCAAAACAATCAGTGCCAATGAGAATGCCACAGCTCAGAAGTCAGAAGTATAGAGTAGGGTGCACTTGAGTAAACTGCTGCCAAAACTCCAAGGTGCTCTCTTGTTTTCTGACATCTCCCATCTCCTCAAAGTCCTCCCCAGATGGCATGTCTCTGTGTGCTGAGGACAGCGATTCAGCGACAGATGCACCTGTGCTTCTCCTTTTCTGACATGAGCTGTTGGCCAGTTCTCACGGATGAGTGGCATTTTTCTGCCAGATAAAGTAGAGGATGAAAAAGCAGAACATACAGGTAACAAAGACAGAATAAGACATACAATAGAACTGTACATTTGAACCTTTAAACAGTGGACATTCATATTGTGGTTACAGCAACATTGCCCTATGCACCTTTAAGATAAGATATAAAAATTACGAATAAAAAAAAAGAATAGCTAACTTCTCTTTAGCTGAATCAAGATTAGCCAAAACAAAAATTTTGGATTTTTTTTGACTGGGATGAATAGAAACAAATAAGTAAATATATAAACACTAACACCCTAAAGAAATTAATTAAGCAAATAAATATTAATTAGAAGATAAGCAAGGACTACCAAAGAAATTATAGGTCAAGTGTATAAAAAAGCACAATTTTAAAAATGAATATTAATATTTTCACAATTAAGCAGCAATAATCTAGAGACAAGGTTTATTTGAGAGTACAGTAGCTAAATAACACCACTGTCCAAAGTCTGTCCGTTACATGATCAAACCTGCTTTAAACGCGGCTCTACTTCTCCAGCTCACTCTGTCACTCACACTTTCCAGGCCTCATGTTCCACGGTCAGTCAGCCAATAAATGCTGAGTGGAACATGACATTTTAATCAAAGGAACAGCTACTGAGTCCAACGCCAGCTGAGGTCAGTCAGTTCATCCAGGTCCGGTTCAGTGTTTCAACGTGCTGGACAAGGACGGCAGCGATGACCTTATCAGCACCTTATCAGGAGAGACAGTGATGACACAAAGGGGCATTAGGGGGTGCCAGGGTATACCTGCTCACCAACTTGTATTGCTGTTGTTTCTGCAGGAACTGGTCAGGCTTTAACATAGTGACTGAATAAAGCTCTCTGTACTCATTTTGCCGGACCCCAGTGCCTATTTCTTTTGAGACTTTTTGGGAAGTAAAAGTTCCAGTCGGCAGCCAAGATTTCTGCACCACAGACAAGGTTCCGACATGGTCAACTATTGGCCTAGGCCGGATATGCCAGCCCTGCTGTAAGATAAATCCATGTCCAACCATCCAAGTGGTGTCCTGCATGAATACATTCACCTCTTAATAACTTCATTATGGCTAAAGACACCTTCAGTATCATGCAGAAATGTAGCATCTCAGCATATAATCCAAAACAGATTACACCAGGTCAGAGGGCGCCCGTGTTCTAAACAGAATACTTTAGTTGTCTTGGGCCTTGATCTAATGTCGTTGCCGTCTTTTAGCATGCACAGCACCGGCCTGACTCTCCGAACAAGCTGAGACTGATTTTTGTCACGAAGCTCAGAGTGAAAACAGTAGCTCTTTGACTCTGCAGGGTTCGTGAGGAAGTAGGACAAAATAAGAGTGACTAACTATGACTAGTAG